ACAAGGTCCTGCTGCTTTGAGCTCGGAATGTGCAGAGCAGAGCAATCTCTTCTCCCTGCTTGTACACAACCGAAGTTTCCCTGTAGAAATATTTATGAATGCTAGAGAGAGAGCTGATTCATGTATGATCTTGGCTGTTCTTTCTGTTCACATGCTAGGGTTGGGAGAAGACTCCCTAAATTCAGCTTCAATTGACTCGGGATTCTTCCAGTAAAAGGCCATCCAGGCTGTCTTTTCTCAGGAAGGAGTTTCATCTTCGTCAATGGTGAGTCGGGCACCACTAAAGTGCCTGCTGCTGAGGGCCACCCCACCTCACAGAAGAGTCCATACTGACTGGAGACAGCTTCACATTTTGTGAGGCTCATTCTCAAACTGAAACCCCACCAAATCTCAACCTGGTTCTACGTTCAGGGTTGATACCAGGCCCGTTCACCTTCCACATCTTCTTCTTTTGAGTACTGAAAGCAACTTTGATCTTTATCCTTATTTTTTTTCCATGTTCTCAGTAATTACCAATGCCTTCAGTTACTGTGAATATAGCTTTCAGTTATCAATAAAGATATATCAATCAGATATTAATCAAGACAAATTATCATTTACTTAAAAGCATTCCTTCAGTAGCATGCAAAGAAGATGGCTGGAGGCTCATTTCTCTCTCATTTATTAGCAGCTGTGCTTGACACCGTTGAAGGTCCTGGGGTCCAAACGGGCACTGCATCCTAGCCCCCCCGCCTCTCTCTCTCTCTCTCTCTCTCTCTCTCTCTCTCTCTCTCACACACACACACACACACACACACACACACACTATACAAAGTGAGTCAAAGAACCTCATCATTCTGACCACAGTGCCTAAAAAAGACACAAGCATCACACTGAAATGAACCTGAGTTCATCTCTCTAAGATTACAAATGGGAGCACAGTGAAGGCCTGCTTCCCTGTTTCCCTGTGCAGTATTGAGACATGAAAGTCATTTTCCCGTCTCATGTGTTAAGGTCCTTTCTAGAACAGACAGGCACAGGAATGTGGGGAGAAGGAGCCCATGTCTCCAGTCTTAGCTGAAACCACCTCCACTCTCCTGCTCTGTTGTATACTTACGTAAGTCAGCAGGCCCCACTAGAAGTAGGTTTATATCACTAGCAGCACAGAGTCCTGTGTAGTACCAAATCCATAGGAAATCAGCCATCCCAATAGGATCAATGGAACATGAGTCAAAATGGGGGAAAAAAAAATCCCCTCCTCATCCTACAGAAGGCTATGCAAGAGTATCTTCTAGCATTGTCTGAGAAAGACAATGATACCCGCTCACCCAGGTTAAAGCTACCTTTCCTAACAGGCTGGCTCACACAAGATCAGCACTGTTCAAAACACGTTCCCATTAATATCAGAGCACCTGACATACTAGAGGTAGGTAATTAGGACACTTGTCACCATGATATATGATCAGAGAAGTCACAGAAGTTAGGACATGGAATATGATGGCCACACGAAGATATGAATTCCCAAGGGAAACTTCAGTAACACCATCTCACCTTTTTAGTGTTAGCATGTTCATCAAAATTGTGGACATAAGTTTTCTTTTCAGTGGTTTTTATCTTTTTTATTTTAGTATAAAATATTATGATTCCATCCGCACTCAATATTGGTATAAAGAATTCCCCTAAAGCTTGGGTTATAGAAAGAGGAGAAAACATAAAATAAAGGAACCCAGGCTAGGGAGAAGGCTCAGTGGCAAAGGGTTCACCACAGAAGCATGAGGGCTTCATTCAGAACCCAAACACCATGGCTGTAGTTCCAGTATTCCCGGGGTGAGATGGAAGGCAGAGACAGGAGAGTCTTCAATAACTCACAGCTCCTTTAGCCTGGTATAAACATCTGCTATTAAGATATGGGCCTCAAGCAAGGTGGAGGACAAGGACCCACACGTGAGGTTGTCCTCTGACCTCCCCAAGCGCTCCCCAAATGCTTAGCCTCCCGACAACTAGCGCCTCTCTCTCTCTCTCTCTCTCTCTCTCTCTCTCTCTCTCTCTAAAAAAGAACACAGAGAAGACAGTGAGATAGGACAACCTACTGAAAAACTAGTGAGAGGAACAAAACACCACACACAAAAGAAGGAATCCTTGGAAAATGGTTATTAAAAAAGTGATATAGACAAATCATTTTCCTGTTGGTTTCCAATCTCATCTCAACCACTGTCTGTAGTCAAAGTTCACCTTTGTGATATCGCAAGGTCGTGCCCCTTCCTGAGCCTCCGAAATCCGTATGAAGCATCCTTCAATTCCCCCATGTTCTCTCAGGGCTGGCTTTCTCTCTTCTGTCTCTAGCCTGAGTGTCCCTCCCTCCTCTCTCACTATCCACTTACCACACACACAGCTATTGAATATAAAGCATTATATACCAGTATGCTGTAATATATATATATATATATATATATATATATACTATGCAAAGCATGTTCCATTGATTAGCTCATTTAGTTCTCAAAACACCTATAAGGAGCATCCTAATTTTATTTACATTATAAAGTGGGGAAAATGTGAGACTCCGGCTCTGAAAAGAGTGTAATTTACTCTTAGTACACACATCATTCACGATCCATGTTCTTCCAACTCCAGAGTCTTGCATTTACCAATTATGTGATCTACAAGGGCATTGATCCTTAAGAGAAATGGGAGGAGCTGCCAACAGGGGACCAGGAGCAGAGAGCCTAGGGAAATAAAACCAACAGGAGCTCCTTCTCAATTTTGCTTAGAGTCAGCCCTATTTGAAGTAGAACCTTGTTCCCATTATGTGCCAATAGATTATCTGCCATTTTGCATTGTGGAAATGTAGCCTCCATTATCCAGGCTGATCTTGTTGACTGTAGAATGCTGTACACAGCCATTACAATGACAGACAACTAATTCAATCTTCTCAGCTAGCAAGATGCTACTATTAACATCTCTTCAATTCCTCCCCTATAGCTTTTGATGCAGGGCCCTTCACATATATCACAGATATTCCTTCCTACAGTATCTATGAAGAAAAGAAACTCACTGGGGAGAAGGAGAGAGAGGGGGGGAAGAAATAAGAAGGTTCTACAATGCAACATAAAATATTACATTTAAAAATTAGAGAAAAACAAATTGGTACAACATAATTGATCATCTGATAACTCCTAGTGCAAAAAGAAATGAACGTTTTTGATCCATTGCTAAACTGAGAATGTCATTTGTTTTGATAGAAAGCATATGTTTACATGGTCACGGTGGAATTTTCCTGCCGGGAAGTAGAGAGATGGGGTGCATCTCCTCTAGAAGGGAAGACCTCACGACGTGTGGCCTGCGTGGGTCACTAACAACAGGACCATCTCTTTACTCAGTGAAACCCAATGACTTTGTATTTCTCATCTTCATGGATCTATCCACTAGGACGTTGTTTTGTTTTGTTTTTAAATACTAACACTCACTGAATTTGATTTGATGTGATCATAAAAGACTCGGTTTTACTGGAACGGAAGCAATGAAACCAGCTCACAAACTCTTTGGGACCAACCAGGAATCTGTATTATCTACTAAAAGGGCACACCGTGGAAGGACGTAGAGCAAAGACAGTCTCACTGAAGTAACTGTGCTTTGCGGTAGGAAGAGCAAATGTAATACTTTAAAAGTTTTAAGCTAAAACACAATGGCAGTCTCAAAAATAATGCACTATTAAAATATTTACAGGTGCAAAGTCCTTCAGACAAACTACAAGGAGAGGGCCACCGGTTTCGTATTCTGACCAATTCCCGTCAAACAAAAAGGAGCATCAAGGACAGTATTTAATAAACTGCAAGAGTAAAATTAAAAAAAAAAGTACCATGATGCAAGAACACTCATTCTGGGAAAAATGAAGTGGAATTAGATGCTTTAGTAGTGGCAAATTTCAAAATCTGGGTAGCTTCCTGTAAATGAAGCTTTCCCATAATGTCAAATGCAAAAAGCTATCTGAGAGCCCCACATCTAGCTGAGTGTTTCATTTCCTGCTTCCTTACACCAAACTGTTTGAAACCTTTGAGATTCAAAACTTCAATAAGCTAGTGTTCTGAACTTGCAGTATTTTATTCCCTTGAGCACGTCAGACAAATCTCCAGACAGGACTGGGCAGAAGAGCATCTGACCATATTCTTAACCCTGGGCATTGCTCAAAGGGTGGCACCTAAGCTTGCAAACTTCCTCAACCCTCAGCTGCCTTCCTGTGCTAGCCGGCTAGCATTCCCTCTTGACAGCAAAGGGCTCAGTCTTTGTATCCACTGGGCACACGCCCAGGCACACAGTAGGCATTTAACAAAGAATGGTGGGGTGAGCTGTTGGAATGGCTTAAGGGGAAGAGTGGAAATCTTGCTGAGAACAGCATGAGTCCAAATCCTGGCACTGCCCAGCAACAAAGACCATCTCCAGAATTAGGGTTATCACAGCGGAGCGCATATTTGCACGTGTATCTCCAAAACGGCATCATAAAAGATTGTTTTCTGAGCTGGCAAGCAGCCACCACAAGCCACTTATGAGGGGATTATATACTCCGGCTTCCCCATTCCTGAAAAACTCATGTTTTGTGTCTGCCCTCCCAGCTAGCCTTTGCTTTGGGTTTCCACCATATAATTTAAGTTCACAATTCGACCTCGCTGGTCCAACCCGGACCTTGGACACCCTGGCTATTCCATAGTTATTCTGGAGTGCCCGCTCCACATCACATCAGAGTGCTAGGCACTGGGCAAAACGCACACCGGGATGGCTCTGGACACGTCTGAAGGTGACAGAGGATGGCAAGAAGCAATGGAGCATGGGGAAGGAACCAGCTCAAGACCCCTGCGGTATCCAGACGTCTTTATCCTTCACCCAAATCCTCTGTCCCACTCTCTGGAAACCGCTGCCAAACAGCAAAGGAAGCAAACAGCACAGGGACTGGAGGGTTCGGGACTGGGGGCGGGGAAGGGGAGTCTCAGGCAATAGACAGCAGCCATATGGGACAGGCACGGTACCTGGTGTGGCTATGGTTTCGGGGACAATCCTTCTTCTCCATGATGGCCGGCACGCAGTTGGTGAGCTCGGTCCAGTCGGCGTGCAGCCCGCAGCTCCAGCCGGTGGAGAAGCGGGAGAAGAGCCAGGTCTCCTTCTTTCCCGGCCGGTGGCAGGTGCACTTTTTCTGGCCAGCTTTGCAGCTACACGGCTGCTCCAGGCGAATATTCTTCACCAGGTGCCGGCCGAACGTGGTGCCCCCCGTCTTTTGGATGTGTAGAAACACTATCACGTCGCGCCCTTTGATGTTGAAGTCCACGAAGCGGGTCAGGTCCTTCAGGGTGAAGTTGAAGCGCGGCACGAACCGGGGCAGGGAGCCGTTTTCGGGCGCCTCGGGATCGGGCTCCTCCTCCTCTTCCTCCTCTTCTTCCCCGGGGTCCCCGGGATCCTCATCCTCATCCTCTGGAGCCGCGACCCCTTGAGGCCCCTCAGGGGGTCCCCGGGGTGGTGGAGGCAGCTGGGGCCGCCGCTCCCACTCATCGGGGGGCGCCTGAGCCCGCTGAGCAGGACTCGGAGCGGCGGGCGGGCGGGCCTCCCCAACACGGGGCTGCTCCCCGAAGTTGGTGCAGGAGCTGGTGCAGGAAGGGGACACGTACTGGTACATGATGACCACGAAGAGGAGAGTGAGCACCGGCGTCAGCAGCCACTTGTTGAACCTTTCATCCATGGTCCCGCTCTCAAGCCGGCAGGTGAGGTGGCGGTGGCGGCGGCGGCAGAGGCGCGATTGGGCGCCTGCTCGGAAGTTTCAGGGACTCCGGGGCGCGGCTCGGAGCCCGCCGCTCCTCCATGCCCCTGCCGCCGAAGAGCGCGGCTGGCTGGCTGCCCCGCCGCACTCCGGGGCTTGCGGTGCCGGGGCCTACATGCGGAGCCGGGAAGACGGGCGCCGGCGGCGGCGTAGGGCTTCTCGCGACTCCCGGGGCGCCTGGCTCGAGCCGGCTCCTCTTGCGCCTGGACGCGGCGCTCTCAGGCGACACGGAACATCCCGCCGCCGGCTGGCAGACGCTCAGGCGCTGGAGCGCGGGGTTCGGGTCCTGGACCTGCCCCGGGCTGCTGCAGGCGGCAGCGAGCACGGGGGCTGCATGAAGCTCGCCAAGGCGCCGGCCAAGGGCAAAGGCGCGGCCCGGCCCCGCAGCCCCAGCCCTCCGTGTGCACCGCGCCCCGCACCTTCCCCGGCGGGTCCTCGGCTGCCCGGAGCCCGCTGCAAGTTTGCAAAGCCGCCTCACGGCGTCGGCGAGAAAGACGCCTCTGCGGAGCCGCCTCCCGGGCGAATCGCACTACTGCTCCGGGTCTGCCCGCCCAGGCAGGCGCAGGCAACGCGCACACACTCGCTCACGCGGGCTGGCACCGCCACAACCCGCCAGCCGGTGTGACAGGAGCCCTGCTACCCGCAGCAAAAAACCTGCCCTAGGTACGGAGCATGCGCCAAAGCCTTCCTCAACCCCGGAGGAGTTTCCAGGGGAGGAGTCCGCGGCTCTGCGGGGCTCGCGGGAGGTAGCTGGGGGTGGGAATCCTTTCAGCCTGGAGCCGGGGAGATCTGACAAAAAGGCGAGAACAGGCCCCACGGAGGGCGTTTTTAGCGATGATCTGATTTCTCTAAATGGCAACACTGGCAGCTTTCTCAGTATGAGAGTGGACGGAAACCTGCCTGGTCTTGTTTGCAGGAATAACAACCCTATGGCAGGAAGTCCCACAGAGACAGGGGTTTCTTGTCCCTCCTCAGCATGGGAATGACTCCAGGCTTCATTTACTGCCTCCCCAAGACATTCAAACTGAGTGTTCAAGTTTGTTCCAATCCTTCCTTAACTATTAACTTAGCAGGTCCAACGCCACAACTTTATTCAACCAGCAACCATTAAACGCCTGCTATGTAAAGGGCACTGTGTCTGGTGCATACTTCATTTCTTCCCCCACGAGGCCAGTCCAGCACGCAGCCACGCAGGTTATAAATACAGTTTAAGGGGTCACCTCCTAAAATTCATTCTGCTAACACCCAGTGAGCTCTTTAACGATAGGGTCTAACCTTTCCCAGTTGAAGCATAGCACCAACTCTCCTTGCCTGTGATTTACAGCGGAGTCTTCCTCGGTCCCCAGATGTTTTTAAAAGCTTCGTTTTTTCGGAAGTGTACATTTTGAAATTACCCCAGAATCCAATTACAATTTTCAGATAATGAATGGTTACGCCAACTAGTTCACATCATACTAGTGGACCTGACCCACAGTGCCTGGACCTGCTAGAGTGGTTTGGGGCAATCGGTGTAAATTCCTGGCCTAGGCTAACCGTGTCCCTCCTAGTTACCAGACAGACATCTCCACCAGGTGTGGTATCCCACACTCTCACAGCAGCGCGCCTTTCTACCTGTCTTATTTCTTCCTGAGCACTGCGCTGGCCTCTTTTGCCGTGCCTGCGTGTGCAACCACCTGTTAAAATCCAGATTTCTTTTGGGAATGCTAACACAGCTCATTGGAGGTTTTGTTTGTTTTTTATTGTTCTAGACAGCTGGGGTTCTTCCCACCTCTACTTCCACTCGTTTTCAACTTTTAACAATTGCCACCCATACCCTACCATTCTTGATGCTGTGGAGGTCTGCATCCCTAAGAAAGGTGTTGGGTAAAATGAGTCGGCTTCTCTACAGCTTTCTGGGCTCTATCTTCTCTCACGCAACTTTGGAATCCTCTTAATGACACCACACTACTTTCCTTTGTCTTCTAAAGAAGAACACAATAAACTCAGAAAATATTTCCTAAATGCACCAACTTGACACAGAGTTTTCTGTTTGTTTTTGTTTTGTTTTTTAAGGCTAGGGTGATAACTGATTAAATGCATACACAAGTTCCTGGGTTTCAATTTCCAGAGCTATAATTTTTTTTGTTTGAAAGCTGGAAGGATGTGATGCTCAGTGCTTGTAACCTCGGTGTCTCTGCTAGGGAAGCAGAGACAAGAGATAAACAGATCACTAGAACTCTGCTGCCCTGCCTGCTTAGCCTCCTCGGCAAGTTCCGGGCCAGTGATAGTCTCTGTCTCAAATAATAACTGGACGATACTTGAGGAGAACATCCCAAGCTGTCCCCTGGCCTCCACATGCACAAACACACAAGAGCACACACACACACGGAAATAGTTCACTTCAGGTAAAAGGTCATTATGCCTTTGCATGCTATTTTATTGGAGAAATACCATATTTTCTAGACTATGGCTTTATTCCTCACAGCTAAGAAGAGTCTTTATACACAAGTGGTTAATCTCTCATTTCAGCGATGAGGAAACCGAACCAAGAAAAGTCAGGCGAAAGTAAAGTCAAAATTAGAAGCTTGTAATACCCTGAAATACATGCAAATCTCCAGTGAAGAAACCCATGGATCATCAACAACACAGCTCATAATGCTCATAATTTCCTCTTGAGACCCTCTGAGGAAGGAGGCAGGAAGAGACAACAAAATTGCTACAGAACAATTAAGTTATTTTCCCTCTCCCCATGGCACGCTAGGCAAAACAGAGCAATTTCCTACCCTGCAATGTTATGGTGTCTAGTTGTAGCTTCCAGATAAACAAGGGAAAGACGGTGCCAATCATAAATCGATGGTATTGTTACTAAAGCAGGACATGTGTGAAAATTTCAGAAGAAAGCACTGGAAAACGTAATAGCTGTGTGGCTGGTAACGTGTGTGTCCATGAGTGTGTATGTCCTCATAAGTGTTCAACAGCTGTGTGGTTGGTCACGTGTGTGTACATGAGTACATATGCTGTCATAAGAGTGTTCAACAGCTGTGTGGCTGGTCACGTGTATGTCCATGAGTACATATGTCCTCATAAGTGTTCAACAGCTGTGTGGCTGGTCACGTGTGTGTCCATGAGTACGTATGCCCTCATAAGTGTTCAACAGCTGTGTGGTTGGTCACGTGTGTGTCCATGAGTACATGTGCTGTCATAAGAGTGTTCAACAGCTGTGTGGCTGGTCACGCATGTGTCCGTATGTATGCCCTCATAACTGTGTGCACAAACATTATAATCCTACAAAACCTTTTTGGTTGTTGTTTTTGCTTTCACTAGAATAACTGATGGGGTGCCACCACTTCTTTAAGGTAACTGGAAGAAAAACAATGCATAGACTCAGAACAATTGCAGAGATAATTCAGGTGTGTGCTCAGGAATCCGTTTCCAACAATAGGTAACTGTGGTTGGGTAAACACCCTTTCTGTCCCAGGTGTGATCTCTCTAGTGCCACAGTAGAAATCGTTGTAAACCCAATCAAAGCTCTTAAATCATGCAATAAACAGAATTCCTTATCTACGAGGGCAGACACCAAATTCTGGAGAAAATGAATTGAAACTTTCTAAAGCTGAATGCTCTCCAGGTAAAAGGAAAAACATATTTGCGCTCGGCCTTCTATAGCTACTGCAGGATGATACCAGCTGGCAATTGTTCCTGGCTAACAGATTGCAGCTACTATGATTCCTACATAAATTATTAAAATAATAAAAATAATGTTTTCAAAAAGCTTTCTTCCACTTCCGCTGCCAGTCTCGCAATAAGCTTAACACTTGGCTGTCTGTGAGGCAATTTGTTCACCTAATTTTCTGCCTTAATGAGCTTTACTACCATTCCCTTCTTGCCGGATTCTTTGTCTATGTTGACTTTATCTTTTCTTCCTCTGTTCTTCCCAGTACTCTCAAACCTGTTACCAGTATCGCACTGCCCCGCCCCCGGATTCACGCTTTTGATTAGAACAGTTCTCATTTAATCAAGTTCAGTTGGGAGATAAAATTGCATCTCAGCGTCTTCCTTTTCCCATTGGTACAAGAAACTGCCTTTGAGAGTGGCGAGGACACCCTAGAGGGATTCGAGAACCAAATAATCCCAGAGAACAGCGTTGGATCCCCTGTGTTTGCACACGGCTATGCAGAGATGCGCATCCCCTTCAAAGCAGATGAGAAACAAAATAGATTGCATCTCTGATTGGCTGTATGAATCTCTCTTTCAAGAGTGAGTCCAGGGTGGAGAGATGGCTCAGTAGTTCAAAGGACTGATTGTTCTTCCAGGAGAGCTGGGTTTGATTTCCAGCAACATAGGATGTTTGCAACAGTCCCAGGAAATCTAACACTCTCTTCTGTCCTCTTCAGGCACCAAAACCACAACAGTCCACAGACACACACCTATACACATACAACTTTAAAAATGTTCTTATCCACTGAAGTGATTTTGTTCTTGACGTTGTAGGCAGGCACTGCCCCAAGTTCGTTGGTTACACAGTTTGCAGAGAACACTAACCTCTTCCTCGGGAAGTTCTTAGAAGCCTTTGTAGAGTCAATGCAACTCACAGACAGAATGGTGACCTAGACTGATATACTCTCGTTCCCTACACCACTGTGACTTGGAAGCCACTGTGTCCCTAAGTATTACATTTCAGAATTCCTATGCATGTGCATAGCTGATTATTTTTTTTGGCTTTGTTGTATAACCTTCCTCACCCACCATAGATAGCACCTATCAGGGAAGCATGGGAACTGCTATCTGCATGCAATAGAGATGTTCATTAAGTCAGTAGAATGTAAGTAACGCACTGGTGTTTTCCTAGTGGATGTGCAGTTATGACTTCAACAAGGATTTGTTGAGCATTCACCAGATTGCTTTGAAGGCTCGAGCTACACCATGAAACAAGACCAATCAAGACTTGCTTTCATGAATCCTACGTTCCAACAGAGAGGGGAAGTGATGAAGAAATAGACATAATTATTTCACTTAATCTAAAACATATAATGAAATGTATATATAATACATAAAGTGCAAGGTACACTTAGTTACATGGCTTATACGGTGTTACATGGTGGCGCGCAGGCAGACATGGGTGCCGGAGAAGGAGCCAAGTTTCCTACATCTTAACTGGTTGGCAACAGGAAGTCAACTGACTCACTGGGCGGTATCCTGAGCATAGGAAACCTCCAAGCCCGCTGCAGCAGTGACACTCTTCCTCCAACGAGGTCATACCCACTCCAACAAACTACACCGCCTGATAGAGCCACTCCCTTGGGGACCATCCTCTTTGAAACCTCCACAGGTGAGATTCCTGTTAACCTCAGACGGGAGCCCTTCAGTGACTTGAGAGGGTGGTCTGCCAGATCTTTCTGCTCTTTGATGGCCTTTTCTCGCTAGTTGCTAACTCAGTGATTTTCCTACCACCAGATGTGGCCCTCATCTTTACCAAACAAATACTTTTTAACTTTAGAACATATAAAAGCATTTATTGTGCTCCTTAGAAATGGGAAGCTAAAATGCATTTAGTACAGCCATAACTTTTACCATGTTTTCCTTAGACTATATTGCCACGATAGATTTCGCGTTAAAGAGATACATCATTAAATGTGGATAAAGACTAAATTTCT